TTTGTATTTAATTAAAGATGCCTTAGACGGCTGCACCCAGTATTTAAAGATGTTGTTCTGTGTAATTCCAGGTAACAACATTTGTAAAGTTCCTTTGGTGTTTTGTTGTACTTTATGTTACCTGCTAATGTCATGAGCACTGATTAAAACCCAGGTTTCCAAACTTGTAAATTTAACATGGAGTAAATGTAATTAAATATAATGAAATTGTCCAAATTAAGACATTTCTGTTGCTTGGTTTCTGTGAATTAAATGCTTCTCCAAGCCTCTATGTCCTATATGTTCTGCAGCCAGTTGTTGTGTCATGATAACCAGAGAACCAGCAGTTAATTTTATAACTTGTATTAAGGTGCTAAAACTTAGTCTGCTCATTTTTTACCCCCTCAATAAAGAACTCAAACCATTTTGTTGCTTTTCTTTCCTCACTGCTTTGTAATAAACCTCTGTAGCTGAGAGTTCGTCAGTGTGAGTGGATCTGAAGTCCTGATGAAACTTGAACAGGAAACGAAGCTAACAAACTCAGACTCTTCCTGTTGTCTGCTGTAAATCTGCACTGGTGTTTGTACTGGACTCACTGGGAGCTGGGGTCCTGTCTCTGCTGCTCTGCTCCTCGTCTCCGTTGAAGCATTTGAGGTAACTGATAACTTGAGGTACTTAATAGATTCAGATCAATAAAACAACCAATAAATAAATGGTCTATTATTCCACGTTAAGACGAAGCTGCAGCAGCATGTAGAGGAATTAAAAATGAGCTCCACTCTACCAGCTGCAACATGTTAATGGTCCAAGAATTATAATCATAAATATAATCTACTGTCCACACTGGGAAATGGGCCATTCTGCAACATGAGTACTTTTAGTTTTGGTACTGTGTGTTTTGTGTTTTACACTACTTGAGATGTTTGAATGTAGAACTCAGAGTATTTCTACACCGTTGTACTGCTTTTTATGCTTATGAAAAGATGTGAGTACTTCGGTCACACTGATCCCTCTACAGCAGATCTGAGATCAGTTTCAGACCTAAAAACAAAATCCAGACCAGACAATGACTCCACACCAGCAGCAGGTGGCAGAGTTGAGCTTTGGGCTCGGTGCCATTAGTTTATGGAGCTGACAGCGACAAGGTAGTCAAGTCAAGTCAAGATTTTTATTTGCCATTTATGCATAAACAGATGGTCTAGGCATAAAGGAATTCTTGTGCAGCTCTTCTTTGGAGTCAGGTAAGGAGTCAAAATCCAGAAAGAACATGTAGTCTTAAAATAAAAAGTTACATAAAGGCAACAAAGTATTAAAAACCACAATACACAAAAATAGGGTAATAGTAGGTAGGCAGGTAGGTAATCCCTGAGAACAAATCAAAAATACCCAAGAACAAGACAAGATATAGTATTCAAGAGATCAAGGACAAGAATATTACTCCCATAATTAATCCTGCAATGGGGGAAATACCTGTATTTCAGCCATGAGGAAACAGGCTGTTTACACACCGTTGTCTAAAACACTGTTTGCTGCAGCATTAACGTTTCTATGAACTGGAACAGGGTGT